AAATAAGTTCATGTTTGATTAGAAATACGAAAAGACTTTTCGGCTACACAATATATCTAAGTCTTACCAATATTTAAAGTGATAGCCACGCGAACGTCAGTTTTGCTAAATTTAGTGTTTTTGTCATAATATCTTAAACGAAATACATATATCGATTGGATAGCGTTGTTGAACTAGTTGTTATCCAGACAATATTTAGGTAGCAAAGCGCAAGTTAATTGTCATCCATCTAATGTGAGGCCGCAAAACGTGCTGCTTCAAAAGGGTCAGACTATAGGGAAACCGGTGTTAGATAAGTGGGTAGGGCATGCAAAGAGAGTGGGAGTCAGTAAAGGTGTGCAATGTGAATGGCGTTCTGTGCATGGCTGAAGTGCTTTTAAACGTGTATTTGTATATGAATATGTCRATTTAAATTACTGTGTTATTCCTTGGTTTTAGAATCAATGTATTTGTTTTATTTTTTCGTACTCTAAGAGTGTATAGTTTTTTTAACTGCATCACCGATTTGGAGCTAAAATCAGAAAGCTGTCAGAATACTTCATACATTGTTGGATACATTATTATATTATGAATTTTTATTTGATAAAAATCATTACAATTTTAATTTTTTTTTGTTCTAATAAAAGTAACGCTTGAAATATATATCCATGATTTACTTTTTGATGAAAATATGTTCTTGATCAAACCACCCATCGCTTAGCAAAATATTGTAGTAGAAAATTAAATTTCCAAAGCTATGTCGCAGAATGAATGACTTCACGAATACACATACATACTTTTTTATTACAAGCTAGTACAAGAAAACAAAATAGAGAAAACAAGCCTCCATTATTAAGTTTTCATTAAATTGTTTGATATGATGCTATTATAAGCACATATGAAAAGTTTTTAAACATTTCAAAAATCAATATATCGCATTTAATTCAACAGCAAGTCCCAAGCAGCATCTTCTTCTGTGGCCTTTCCAGTATTGGCGCTTTTGCTGGCTACATTTTTAACATCAAGASTACTGAAACCTTCACTTATTTTTTGAGAGCTTGATTGAATATTACTGTTTTTCTTAACCGATGTCGTGCCCGGGCCTACGCCAGTTGTTTTCGGTTGTTGGTAAGCACTTTGATATCCAACTGATTCGTATCCTGACCAGTTATTATCATTCATTTCACCGAGTTGTTGATGATACGAATTAGATTGAGTTATGGTTGGTTTAGAGGAACTATCCCCCCAATCCCAGTCACCGTCACCTGTAATTAGAAGCTGGTATTGGTCGAATTGTTAAGAGATTGAATCTTTAACAAAAAATTACCACCAACAGAATGTGATCGTTGATAGGAATTATCGTTGCTACCGCTATTGTTCCCATTTGGATTGAATTGATTAGATGCTACATTACTTCCGCCAATATTGTTCCAACCTCTTTTGCCGATATCTGTTACCTAATGAATTTCGATAAATATTGGAAAATTTAAACAAGAAGTTTTAGTAGAAAAACAAGCAACAAAAAAAAAAACAAATCATAAGCAATACGAACCTTGTACGCCACATCGGAAACATGACCTTGGACAGTTTCTAATAAACCGCCTTCTTTAATCTGAGAAATTATATACATAAAATAAATAAACCAAAAAACTAAAAACAAAAACAATGTGTATCCTTATTGCTACAAATTAATATAAAAATAATAAGACAAAATATGTTAACTGAAGAAATTAGCAATTTGTAGTACTAAAGATACTTAAAACATGGAACTCAAAAAAAATTACACAAATCATACCTTTGACGAGGCCAGGCTTACAGTCGTCACAGCTTTTTCCTTAGCGGTACTTGCAATTTTAGAAGCTCCTGCCGAAAATAAGCTCCAACCCTGTGTTAGAAAGTTTATAAGATGAGGAAACAATTTTCTACAATGTTATCTTTACCGAAGCTAAGGAAGAAAGCGTAGAGTCGATAATTTCCTGAGATTGCGTTTTTGATGGTGGATCTCGAGAATATCCGAAACCCGAGTATTTCCCTCCTTGGCTCGGGGGCAAATTGCTGAATATTTTTAAACGTAAATTAATTTCAAAAGTAAATATATACAGTTGGGGTAAAGAAAACCTACTCTGGACGTGAGGCATTTTCCATTTTTCGACGCTCGAAAAACTCTTCCTTTTGCTCTTTGAACTCAGGCGTATTGAACTGTTGATAATTATTTGTAATATTACCACATCCAGTGTTTGATTCTGTCTGATAACCACMTTCAGAACCACTGCTTTTGGAATGAGAAGTATAGTTGATATTTTTGTCACCGAAATAATTTGTGGTAGCGGAAATACGGCCTTGTGCTTCCTGTAAATCCCAAGACTTTCCTTGAGCTAGAGTGGATATTTTATCCCGATAAAGAGCAGCAACCTTGCAATTATAGCGTTGAGTAATGGGTGATCGATCATCCCAATCAGGATGATCTTCGAAAAATTCTCGAGCTTTACTGTTTCCTCCGACTTTCATTTTTTCCAATTCAATATCTTTCCACTTGTCCATGGTTACGGAACGTACAAACGATATGTGCACTCCTAGACCACGGTGTTTCCCTGAACATTCCAAACATATCCATATGCCATACGTAACCGAAACCCACTGAGGATTGTGTGTACCGCACTCAAAGCATTTCTAAATATTGGAGTAGTACAATAGTATAAGAGTATATAGTTATCCGACAATTACCATTATTTTTATAACAAACCGAGTTTTCATCCTTGGGCTTTAATTCTTGAAGAACACGACGTGTACGTGGACTAGCCATTATAAAAGAATATACAAGTTTTTAATAGTTACGAAAATAAAAATAGTTTTAACTCAACATATTTCAGCACTTATTTTTCGTATTGTCAAGAGTACGAGGTTGTCACACGCAGTAAAACAAATTGTTGACGTGTGATATACAGTGTGCTCCCTTTATTTGTTTTACCCCTTTTAAAGTTTTTTGCCAAAAATAAAGAACAATTTGTTAATTTCATATTCAAACATTTTACAATTTGCTTTTTAATTTCAAGTACTAGTTAGTGAAGAGATAAAATTATTTATTAGCTTTTATAAAAATCTAGTATTATTGAGATGTAACACATTAGAGAAAACTTGGCAACCATAATATGCTTCAATTTTTATGAAAAAAATTAATCCAGAGAAAATGTTTGWTATTATTTTACTAACTGGTCCGCCAGGTAATTAATATTTATACAGGACTTTCCAAGTAATGGTATATACAAAAGATATTTATATACATATATTATTTTAAGGTGTGGGCAAAACAACATTATTGCGAAAGATATTTGAAGAAGTTCAGCTGATTTACAGTTGTCAGGGATTCTTAACTGAGGAAGTACGTAATGAACAAACACATGAACGTGTTGGTTTTGATGTTGTGACCTTGTCTGGCCAGCGTTGCGTTTTAGCGAGGTTTGCTAAGAAGRGTGATATTAATTTAATCCATTGATGATATTTATTTAATCCATTTTAGGGCACTGTCCGAAAATAGAAAACAAATGCCGAAAGTGGGAAAATATTCTATTTACATTAATGATTTCGAAAATCTTGTACTTCCCTTGATTGCATGTGGAAATTTGAAATATGAACTTCTAATCATTGATGAAATTGGAAAAATGGAATTGAAGAGTAAACAATTTGAACGTGCTTTATGTGAATTAATTCATAAAATTCCCATTTTGGCTACTATTCCATGCGTACCTATCAAACAAAGTCAACTTATTGAAAATTTAAAAAAGTCTCCTAATTCAAAGATATACGAAATAAATAAAAATAATCGTGATGCAATACAGAAGGAAATTGTGAAAACTATCAATGCTATGTTAAAGAATTAGACAATATTTAATTTCTTTAAAAATACAGTACATATTTGTATATTGTTTATCATGCTTCTGTTTGAGGTATTTGCGAAGGTTGCAATTTATTTTCCCGAATCGACCGTTTTCGTGAACGCTTGGGTGATTTCTCAAAATCCATTTCATTATATGTTTGCTCCGTAGCTCGCCAAACCATTTCCTGTCTTTGAATAAGTTCTGGGTATCTCTGTTCAAACTCTTTATTGGGAGACAATAGTAATTCCCACTTTTTTTCAGAATTAAGACGAGCAACGGATTGTAGAACCTCAGCAGCTTCGTCAGGTGGAAGTTGTGTTGCCGTTATTACTTGGCGACGATATAAATACTTGACACGAGAAAATCTGAAAAGCTATATAAAAATAAAATTAATAAATACAAATAATATTGTGTATTTGTATAATATTTACCACGTAATCTCTTGCTCTTATCATTAGCTCTGAAGAAACACCATTTGAGTTAGATAATGTATCTGTAGGATAAATAATATCAGACTGGGGTACCCAATTGCCATGTATAAGTACTCCAACTTGGGGTAAAGCGCGAAGAACTTTTTCACTAGATATATTGCAATCATTACAATCCTGAAGTATAGAGTATATATCTTCAAAACTCATCATTCGCACTGAAAAAATAATAATTATTTAAACCTTCAAAATTTTCATAACATGGGGCACACACCATCTCTTAGTATTACTTTAAGTTGGTCAACAAGTGACATCGACTTTAATCGAGTTTTGCTAATAACCTTAGGTGGAAGTACGGCATCTATGCCCTGATCCTTACCATCCTCCGGTAGAAGTTTCTTAACATACTTGGGGAAGTCTAATTCTAATGCCAGGTTAATTTGCTGATTTGTTGCAAATAACTTTTGTCTTTCAAGTTCTGCCGTGGGTGACTTTCGCGGGTGCCAATAAGTCTCACACCACGATTCTTCATTGCTTCGTTTTATAAAACTGGCATATCCTTGTCTTTCCTTAGCTTTTGACTTTTTATTTCCTACGCCAGATTTTGCGAATTTCACGGTCACTTGTTGTAATTCTTCCTCATCATCTTCATCATTGAGCGCCTTCTGTTCTGCCTTTAATCGTTTGTCTTCTTTGTCAAAATGAGATAATGAAGGGCGTAACTGTAGTATATTAGCCAAGGGTGTTAAATGCAATTCCTTATCCGAAAGGATACCAACTACATATTTGTCCACATCATCCAACGARCGTGTGCTTGTAAAAGCCTGCTTATCCATGACTCCACGTTTATAAGTCGGACGTTCCCCTTTTGTTTGACTTTTCCCATCAGAAGCCAAAGCAAATTTCTCTCCTTTAAAGCGGTCATAAAAATTCGATTCCGTGTTTAATGCAAAATCAACCTTCACTTCATGGTTCAATGGCTTTACACAGCAGTTGACCACAGCAGAATTATCAAAGTTGCTTATTTGTGTTTTGGTCGGATATTGGAAAAGGTATAGGTTTTCTTGAAGATTTTTGGACAAAAAAATGGGAATCTGTAATATATAAACTTTATAATTACTAAATACGATCACTTTCAATAATAACTCAACCAAC